AGCTTAGCGTTGCCTCTGTGTTAAAAAGGGTGAACTTCAAAAGAATCGCTAAATTCAAAGAGTTTATTTGATGTATTTTTTTCTTTGAAAATTGAGTTTCAAAAGAAGTTTTTCTTTTGGTTTTTTTCAGTTCATTGAAAATTTCCCATTTGTCTGTTGGCTTTGTTAGATAGTATTTCATCTTAGGGTTATGCTATCCTGGGCAAGTTATCATCCTAGGGTTATGCGTCCTACAAAATAATCCTAGGAAAATTATTATTATAAGAGCTCTGGAAATCAGGTCTGTCGAACCCACGTATAGGCAAATTGATTGATCAACAGTTTTCAAATTTGGACCCCTTGTGAAAGATATTTACTGAATATTGCAAAGTTAAATCAGTCCTTTTTTGAATAGTTTCAAGATAGAAATGACAATAGAAGAGAAGCAGAAGATAAGATATGAAATGAGAAGAAAATTCATCCATATTATGACTGATGTTTCGTCTGAAGAGTGTAGTGTGCAGTTCTCATGCAAAGAAAAATCTTCTGCCACTGCTAAGCTTCAAGTCTTCAACCCAAGTTTCGAGACATTCGGTGTTTTGAATTTGAAGACACCCATGGCCACGCACGAAACTGCCTTATTGCGGTCTGCGGATGTTTCTTTTATTGAGTTTAGATATGCCGAAAGTTGAAATAATACTTTATTTTTGTCCGGTATTCTGTTTGACTATTGTGTTAATATTGGTTGTAAATTTCTTACTCTTGCATAAATGAAATAAAAGTTTGGAAGCCACCAAAATTTTTTAAATTCAATTTGAATGTTATCTTTTCACCCGAATTACTAGAAAAAAAATAAAAGTTATGACTGATTTTTGTTGGTTTCTGAATTCTTTGAATGGATCATCAAACCGGGTACTAAATTTTTCGTGTTATTTTTTCAATTGTTATTTTTTCTCTGTCTCTTTCATTGAGAGTGAAATCTTTCATTGAGAGTGACTTACGGTTTGCTCCTGTTTAATAAAAATAGGTATTATGAAAATATATAGGCTTTGTTTTCGAGGCTTTCTCAAAAACCCTTCATCAAAAGAGCAGCAAATGGAAAGACCAGCTGCACCTATGCTAGTCCGCTATTACGCTAGTCTCTTTACACTAGCGGGATTGCGCGCCAAGTCTGTTAGTACAGCCTTCTTTTTATTCTAACCTGACTCGCAAAAAAAAGTTTTAAGTGTTCACTTATTTGGAGGCACTTTGCTATAATTACGATCTGTAGCATTGGGAATTTCATAGCGTCTGTTCTCTGCTTTATTTTTCGCTAGTGTTTTGATTTTCTAAGTGTCCGTGGCTGAGTGGTTCATAATCTCTAGGGCGCAGATTGAATCCGAGACATAGCCGAATTTTTATTGACTCTAGGCTTATTTCTGCCTTTTCTAATTGAGCCTCATAGAGATGCTTTTTCTCGTGTTCTCGCTAGTGTTTGCGAAGCGAAGCTTCGCCTCTGTGTTAAACATAATCCCACTCTCTAGGGTCAAATCCAAAACGACCTCGCCAATTGTTAGAATAAAGGTTCAATAGAAAGAACAGGTTCTAAATATCTTCCCGCTGCATAAACGGTTACTCCATATTTTTTGTATAAGAGAATTTATGGTCTGGTCAATTTTTTGAAATGTTTAGACTATATAGACCAGGGAATTGTCCAATGTTTGAATTTTTGTTCATTTTGAACCTTTTCCCGTTTACTGAAAACTACCCTGCCAAACTTAAATTCTGGGTACAATTGTAATGGAAAAAACAGGTCGTGACAACCTCGCTTGCATAAGCGGTATATCCCAATTTTTTGAAGAAACAGTTATTTATGGACAGTAAATATCCAATTTTTGACGTTTTGACCGTATTTGAAACTTTCAATTATCAACAACAACCCTGTCAAATCTGAGATAATGGAATGAATCAATAAAACAAGTTTTAAGTCTCTTCCAAGCATAATTGGCTGCTGCCGATATAATGGACTTGGGAAAATGCATAGTTGTAATATTTTCTAAGTAACTGTCAATTCTGAAAAGGGTTCAGTTGAAAAAAAAACAGGATGAGAATAAATCCTGCTTGACCGGCATCTACATTGCCAGTTTTGGGGTTAAGTGTACAATTGAAAGAACAAGTTTAAGGGACCTCGCATGCATAATTGTCCACGCCCTTATTTTATTATGAAAATTGCTAAAGACTTGAGAAAACTCAAATTTAATGTGCAATGAAGATTTGCCACAATAAAAACGGGCATTTTTTGGGTGGGTACTTATAAAAAAAAGTTTTCTGTGAAGCTTTTACAGATGACAGTCTTTTATTACACTTTTTCATGGAAGTGTGTTTAAGTTTCTACCCTTTAAAATATAAATGTTGTTCATCCACTGATTGGTGAGGCTGATATCAGCCTAATTGACTCTTGTTTATCGGTTTTGATTGCTATAGTTTTAACATCGTGTTTGTGGTATATACAATTAGCGAAATGATTAACGAAACTAAACTGTTTCATTTTAACCAGTCGTTTGTGTGGAATCATTATAGTTTGCCGGGGGGTTCGTTAGTTAAATGATTTAATTTGGAGTGTAACATTGTTCTGCGGAGCTCGTTGTGCCTCTTTTTAAGGAACTTACAAAAGGTTCTTACAAAAGGTCTCCCAAGAATTTCGAAAGTTTTAAAATGCTCGGGTCTGTTTAAACTGCCGGCCAAATTTAGAAATATTTTATACATTTTACTCGACTTTATGAAATAAAAACGTTTATAAAAATTTTGTTTCATTGCAGCCAAGTAATGAGTATGTTTCCCATTCTATTTTTCCAATTTCTCTTCCACCAAAACAGCCTCTACAGCGTTTCTTTGGCATCTTCACGAAATATTAATCTTCTTGTAGTTTGTTCAAATGATGCTAGTTTGTTTTCCAATTGCAACCAGCAGACAGATCATCTTGATCAAAACTAAAACATTTGAGAACGAAGAACTTTCGAACAGCTTAACAATCTGGGATCGGGCAGATTGCAGCTTAAGACAGGAAAACTTTACCACCGTTGCGGCGATGCCACAAAATATGTTTGCTAGATAAACAAACAGGACAGCAAATATTCAGTTCTTGTTTTGGTAGCTGATATATCTGGATAAATTTAGCGGTGATCCTTTTCGCGTTGCTCCGTAAAGCACTATTTCAGCCTCCATAAAAACTTAAGTTTAATTAAATCGATGGGGGCAACAGCAGGAAACAGTTAAGAATTGACTCTAACGACCTTCAAACTTTGCTTTAAAAGAAAGCAGTTTACTTCAACTATTCGCGCCATGAAGTAGTGAAGACTTCAGCTGTTCAGAGCTGTTCGCATCATCACATTCATTACATTCAGAGCCGATTAACGTAGTGAAGACTTATATAGGTCCTGTTGATTTGTTAGTTTTTTTTTTCAAGAAAAGTTTTCAAAATTTGTTCAGGCTCAAATTTACTTTTGATTTCTTAAGACCAGTTCATTTCTTTTGTTTTATGTTCATTTCTTATCTAACACCAAAAGTGTAAAAGTCACGAAAAACGTGATTGACTTAGTTTCGAAAATCGATTTTAGTTTTCAGATTTCCCTAGCGGAAAAAAAATTTACCTATTGATCCATTTAAAAAAATTGTGTCAATCATTAATTGTTCTAGAAATGCAAAGAGCTTTAAATCAATCTTTTTTTTAAAAAAAAAATTCGAAAGTTGAGATTTCTCAATTCTGTTTACTTGCGTGTATTTGACTCTTCTCAACTGTCTGTTGGCTAGGTTTGGGATTCTTAAAATGCATGGAGGCCTTACGTGACATTGATGTTTGACAGGCATGTGCTTTTGGCCTCTCTTCGGGTTTGCCCACCACAAACCAGCGTACTTCGGGATGTGCAACCATAACGTACGTGCCCGGACTCTCGCCGCACTGTGTGGGTCCTTCAGATGTGATCCCACAAAATATTGCAGATACTAAAATTAGATTTATTGGGCCAAATTGAAGTACATTTTGCTGAAACTAATATATCAGGCTCAAGATTTTCGGATAGGTATAGCGCACATTCACATTGCGAGGTAAAAAGTTCTCATTTAGTGCGCTCAATGCCTGCTGCCTTTTTTTGTTTTCCTGCAAATTGAAATTAATTTTGCTGCTTGCGTTTTATCTAAAATGTAGTGGTTAGAAACTCGGTATCTCTGGGAAAATTTGAAGTTTGACTTCGACTGTTTGCTCTTGCGAAAAAGCAAGCGTTATCAAAACCGGAATGTAGACTTTTTTTGGGGTTAACAAATAGTTTTGACAAAATCAGTTTGAATTATTGTCAAGTTCAATTAGTACTGATCATATAGGCGGTGTTAATGATGGGATGCCGTTGACATGCTCTATTTCATGAAAAATTTAGTTTTAACTACTGTGGGTACTAGTTACTACAGGTTAAGCCAGAGATATATAGTCTCTATGTTCAAGCAGAAAACGAACCGAGCAGTTGCATTCTGAGCACTGAAGTTTTATAAATCTGATCAGCAAGCGGCGCTTGTTTCAAAAGATCAGTCCAATTTTTCTGCCAATCTTAGTCGCAGCTTTCTGTGATTAATTTTCAAGCCCAATTTCAATGTGTTATTAAAGAGAATTTTTTGAGGTCCAAGTTTCAATGTCTGCATAGAGAAGGAATTTTTAGAACTTATCTTTTTTGCTGTCAAATCAACGTACATAAGTAATTATCAAGTTTTTTTTTATGGTTTACCGGATAAAGCTTTAAGGAGTCAATTCATGAAGCTTTCTTTCTCGTCCCTTTTCCTTCAACAAAAAATCCAGAAAATGATAAAAATGTTTTTCTGAAAAAAGTTCTATACATTTGCACGAAAAGCTCTTTTTTTCAATATCTACCATTTTTTGTCGTTGCTCTGTTTTTCATCTGGGCATTCAACGGGGCCTCCTGAGTCACCCTGGCAGGAGTCAGTGGGGACACCATTCTCCATTCCACCAGCACAGAAACTCGTACAGTTCATCCGCACTACATGATGCCATTCCTCCTACCGTTTATGTTCACTTCCTAACAAACACAACAGCACAGTTGTATCTGGAATGAACAATGAGCAGATATTGAAATATTCAACTCTTCAGCTGCCCCACCTGCAATGTTTTCCTCTCTCTCCCCAACCCCACCCCCCCCCCCCCCCCCCCCCCCCCTAACATTTGAATTTCAATTTGAACTTTTTTTTGACACTGCCATAATGCAATGAAACTTTACGTGGTGAACAAACTAACCATTGTGAATAGATTTGTTTTCAAAACTTTCCATCTTAACATAACGCTTTTAGCCATTATGAAGTGGGAAAACAACAGTGAAATGAGAAAATTTGAAAATGCGGGAGCAAGTGGAAACGAGCCGAACATTTTAAAAGTGACCATGTTTTTAAGTTTCCCTCTCTCATTCGAATGGAGAAGAATAGAAACTTTTGAGGTCTGTCTGAGCGTAGCAGCCTTAGTTTGACCCCTGATAATCCACATATTCTGTGAGACCAGGTTTGAAATTTGTTTTTCATGGGCTTCTATGTTTACCTGCAGAGTCTTGGCGTTGTCACCGTTCTCCATTGTGCCCCACCCAATTACAATCACTTCGTTGCCCGGTTCTGTCAGCGAGTAATCTCCGGCTTTAGGTATCTGAACAAGATTTCTTTTATATTAAACCTCGTATCAATTTTTTTCAAGCATCTCGCCGTTCAGATCCCAGTAGATCGAGAAGACGCCGTGTGTCAAAAATTAGTAACTGCGTTTTTTTTGGCTAGTGGATTCCTGAGGTTTTTTTTTTTTTAAAAAAAATCTTTTTGATGTAAATTTACCAACTTACAGATTAAGTCAATTCAGGCTGGCTTCTAAACTATTAAAATAATTTTAAAAAAAATAGATAGTAAATATAAGAGTTATATATACATATACGATTTATAACCAATAGTTTTTTTTAATTGATACTTGTTCAACTCAATGTTGTAAATTTTTTATTAATTTCGGTTTTTAAACCTTGTCTTTGTTTTTGAGCATTCTCAATTTTATAGGCATATGAGGGTTCGTAAATTTCTTGGCACATACTTTAGCAAAACCTTTTTCAAATTTTTGTATCATGATGATGTATCATCCGCAAATTTAACCGTTTGATCAAGTTTTCCCAGAATACTCCTAAAATCGTTGACATGTGGTATGAAAACTATCGGACCGAGCAATGTAACTAGTATCTTGTTATCGTGTACTGAAATCAATTCGATAAACAAACGCTCCAAAGTACTGAGAAACGTAATGAGAAACGAGACAAACATTCAAACACAGCAACTTTCAGGAATGATAAAATGTGAAGTCTCAGAGATGTTTTTCTCCAAACAAATTTGGATTGTAGAAACCATTAATTTAGCTTTTTTGCCAAATCGAAGTTATCGGTTTGATCGAAATCGATCCATAAAAACTTCTGAAAACCGTTTCCGTAATTTTACTTAATGGCATTGGAAAACATATTTTTGTCAAAGCGAGTTTTACCAACGATTGCACATTATTCACAGCAAAGTTGATTTTGCGGTTTTTTTTTTGCATTATGCAAAAGTTCCGTTTAAAACGATGGCCACTTCCTACTAAAAGCTGAGAATTTTGATAACAATGCGGAAAGTTTTCGGTCGAAGTAATGATGATGTCACGAGTTATAGTAACGTTTATAGCTGAAAACAAAAAAAACGTTAGATGTTTGTTTTCATTTTTTTACATGAAGTTTTTTTACACTTGCAAAAGCAAGTGTTTTGCAATTGGGAACAAGACGTTTTTCCCGTAAATATCTTTTCCTACAAATTTTCAACTTGATTTATTATTGAATCTTAACAACTTCCAACTTTCTTCGCCCTTGGCTTAGAGTTAACGGCATCGCCTTGCACCCTAAGGTCTGGGACTCGAATCCCGGCCAGAGTTTGTTTTTTTAGTAAGCTTGCAACTGGAAGAAAAATTTTCGGTAAAAAATGACATTGCGAATTTCTGATCAAATTTTGTGGGCTTAGTTGCCCTATTTTTTTGCTGTAAGCAATTAGCATGGTAGTTGAAAATGTTGTTCATTGTAGTTTCAGGAGGAATCGTAACTTTTAAAAGTTTTATTTATAGTCAATTCTTTTTCGGCTCAACTAGTGTCTGTCGAGAAATTGCCGGCTTTTTTTCCGCTTCGTAACAATTTCAATTTCAAATCCTAAAAAAATTTTAAATTCAAGTTTTCTGTAAAGTTTTTTGAAAAAACGATAAACGTCAAATCTCCAAAAAAATTTCAAGAAAACAAATTTGATTTTTTCTTCAAATTTTGAAAAGTCAATTTTTGTAGTGGATGTTGTCAGAGTACTCTCATGGTCTCAGGGGTCGCGAATCTTGCCTCCAAATATGACTGCTCTTCTTTTTGTATTTTTGAGATTTGACGTTTATCGTTTTTTCAAAAAATTTTACAGAAAACTTGAATTTAAATTTTTTTTAGGATTTGAAATTGCTAACCCAGTACTTGGGGGCTGTCAGAGTACCACAGAGATTGCGAATCTTGCCTGCAAGTATGCCTGCTTAAATGTTTGTATTTTTGAGATATGACTTTTTTATGGTTTTTTTGAAAAAAAAAGTTTTTTAAAAAGTTTAATTTTGAAGTTTCTTAAACTTTGAAATTCCAACGCTGTAGTTGGGTACTGTGAGAGCACATTCCAATGTGACTGCTTTGAGCTTTTAGTTTCCGAGATGTGACGTTTTTCATGTCATTTTAAAATGTTCCAAAGATCTTCACAGAATTAATAAAAAGTTGAATAAAATTTGTTTTAGAAAATTTGAAATTACCATTCCTGTAATTAGGTGCTGTCACAGTACACTCAAGGGATGCAGTTCTGATTTCCAATATCTGCGGTTTTTAATAGTTTGATAAAAAGTCGAAGCACAGGAGGTGCGTTACACGCTAGTTTCATTTAAAATAATTTCAAACCATTTTTAAAAATGCTCGATATAAAACACGTTATCAACGCAATAATTATTGCGGCGACTCCCAAATTTCTCCCGCTGCACCGACTTGTTATTTCCGCGATCTCAGCTAGGAGCACGTTAATACAACTCCCAGAACCGCCTACTCCCCGTTTTTAAATACCTATCTAAATAGAATAGACCCTAATTTCTGCCGAACTGTCTCTTGTGTCCGTCCCCCATACTAACTCCCATCGTATCGTTTCAACGGCCAGACAAACAGGGCTGAACTCATTTCATTAAACCTGTGTCTACGGTCGGCCAAAGTAGCAAAATTCCTTAGACTGGGGACAATGGGGACAAGCTCGCATGGTTAACCCCCCCCCCCCCCCCCCCGCTTGTGGGCAGCTAACTACAACGACTTTGTAATAGTACTTGCTAAACATTTTTTTCGTTAGATGATAAATATATGACGACAATCAGTTAATTAAAGAAGAAACGCGAGGTGTAGTGTGTGTAGTAGTTAATGCAAATTGTTGTCAATATCGGGATCCTAGAGTAACTTAATCGGTCAGTAAGGCGCTTTTGCGGTTGTACTTTTGGTTATAAGAATTGATTTGCTACGTCAAAATGAGCCGTCGTAGGGTTTCAGATTCGTAGACTGAAAACTTTTGCCAGCAATTTGGATTTAACTATAGAACAACAGCAGTACAATCAAACTGATAGGCCCATCATACACTCATCATTCTAGACAACATTTCCCACGTTACAGACTCCGTTCCTTTTTTTCTTCAATTTCGAAGTTGCGCTTCGGTCATGAATCAATTTAAAAGCCAGGCCTCAGAAGATCGCGAATCCGAAACGAAGAACTACAACTAGTGTGATCATTTTGTCAGGGTTTATTTTGACTGTACATTTGCAATGAAGTAAATTCTTATTTACCGTTATGTTTATGACATTGTCCCCCTTGAATGGAGTCTCATCTGTGAATTGGATTGCAGCTACATCAATGTCTTCGTTGGGATGGATTTCTATGTTTTTCTCTAAGAATTCGACCCTGTAGCTGTTGTTGATGGTTGCGTGTTTGTAGTATGCAAATCCCATGAAGATATCTCCACCTGTAGCTAGCTTCTTTTGATCCTTGGTTTGCAGACAGTGAGCGGCAGTTATCACTGGAAAAAAAATGGAAAAACATTGGAAACAGTCAAGCTTGGAAGATGGTCCGAAAAAAGTAGTTGAATAGAACACCGGTCTAGTTTCTTTGTCTACAGTCACGGGACATAGAAGTTACAACTTTTTCTTTTCAAGTGATGAAATGAGTAAAAAAGTTTTCACATTTCTTTCCAATTACTAAAGATTCACCGATAACTTTTCGACATATGATGGATAAATCTTTGTTGGAATATAATTATTAAGCCGGATAAATAACCGTAAAAATGTTTTCGAGGCGTTGTTTGACGATTTAATTAGAGGGCATCAGAGACGTGTTCGTAGTTCCAAAAATTCCCCGTAAACAGCAGTATTCGTTTGAAACGTTGACTTGAGACTATTCATTAGAAAGCTAAGGATCTAAGCTGAAGGAAGAAAGAATAAAGAATTTATTTTTCCGATAGGTAAATGCATTCATTGGCAAAATATAAAATAAATTCATCAATAAAGTACTCATCGGAAGGGAAAACTACCGAGACTACATCAATGGTAGACAGCACCATGAAATAAAGGAAAGAAAAAGTCCTCAAATGAAAAAAAATCCAATTTAATTAAATTTCACAATTACCGTAAGATTTTTGCGAAAACAGCGCTAAACACAGCAGTACAGCCAATGTTTTGACGCCAATTTCCACTGATTGTAAACCGGAACCTAAATTTTTTTTTGAAAGTTCTTCTAATTTTTGTTGGCAAAAATTGTCAAGAAGTTTCTAAGAAATCACAAAAATCGTCATATCTCCCAAACAAGGGTCTCTGGAACGTCATATTTTTTTCATACATCTCGCAACCCACAGTTAAAATTCCTTATGTTTTAGTCCAAGTTATTGCATTTATTGGATATTAAAAATTGAAAAATTAGAGTTGCCAGCCAGCTCGTGTTTACTTAACAGGTATCCATTTTGAAATTTATGAAAATAACTTTTAATTGTCGTAATGTTTGCCTTTTCTAATCGTTTTCGAGTTAGACCCTTGTCTTTTGAGAAGTCTTGATGCCCGGTAGACTACTGATTGACTTTCAAAAAATTTTTGTCCAATGTTTCTTTCAGAAGCCTTAGTTTATTCCTACGAGTTTCTCGTAATGGAATTTTAAAATTAAATTAATAATAAAAAAATTTCACTATGGAGATTATCGATCGTAGTAGGAATTTCAGTAGCTTGTAGACATGAAATTATGGTGTCAAATTTTCACGAAATTGTCTTCTGAGTTGTCACCACATTTTCGAAAATATATTTCAATACCTTTTTATGAAGCATGAAAATTGGCAGCAAGGAGGAGAAACTACAATCGTAGAGACAACCGTGAAAATAATCACTGATTGTTTTGGTAATAGCGTTTTTTCATGGTTTAAGTGGGAAAAAAGATAGTTTTCAATCAACGTACACCATCAGATACTATTTAGAAATTGGTTCATTTTTATGTCAAATTGTTCAATTGAAAAGTCATCCAGCTGGAAGACTTTACAGTCATTTTTTGTTTTATTCATTTATTCATCAATTTATTGGCATTAAGCCAATAATTCAATTAACGGATGTCCTTATTTTTCAAATTGTCTGCTTGTCCCAATGCAAAGACATTGGTGTCTTCCGCATAAACAACAATTTCGGATGTTTTACAGACACGAAATAGGTATTTCAGGTAAAAATGAAACAGTAATGGACCTACAATCGATCCTTTGAACACGTTATTGTTGACCAGTTGGAAGATCTCACATTTATTTCCACACGTTGATTACTTTTTTGTTAGTACGAACCAAACCAATCTTTGCTATTCCCTCTAATGTAGTATGATTCCAATTTCTGTAACAAAACGGTTATACCAAATGCTTTTTTCAAATGGAATAAAGTAATTATTTTTTGCTTGCCGCATGTCAGCTTTTTTTCGGTAAAAATAACAAGAGCGCCAATCGTACTTTGCTTCGATCGATACCAAATTTTCTGCAATTAATCAGCTAAGACTTTTCCAGATCATTTTATAGGAGCGATATTGGTCTGTAATTATTTTCATTAACTCTAGCACCTCTTTTTTGCATTGGCATTGCTTTTGCTTTCTCTTTTCATTTTATCGGGGAAAATGTCTTTCACGAAAGACTTGTTTATGAGCGAAGTAATTAAGGAACGGTAGCAATATGTTGTTGATATTGTCATCTCCGATTATGAATTTTTGGCGAGATTATCCAGTATCGTTGCCGGTACTGTAAAGTCGGTGCCATTTGCTAAGAAAAAAAAAGTTTTTCATTAACCGCAACTGCTGAAGGAGTATTGCAATATTGTAGACAAGATGCCAGCTTTGGTGCACAGGTATCAATTCTATTTTTCCGCTTGGATCGGTAATAAGCTTAAAGGTATTTCCTGATTCTCCTTTGCAGAAAACTTTTTCATAAACGTTGAACTTTGTTTCTAGTGGTCGTTAAATTTTCAGTGTGTTGTTGAACCTTGCATTGCTGCTTAAAATGTAATTTAATTAAAAACTGCGGTAAAATTGTTAAATGATGCGGAAGGCTGAGAATTATAACAAATGTTTTGGTTGTGATTGCAAACCGCTAATATACATGACAGCTGCGTGTTTCTATCCAACAATTTTTAGACCGCGGGAAGGTTGATTTTACCCGTTTTTGTTTAAACTGTAGAGTCCATTGCAATAGGATCGGATAATGAGCAAAGAAATTTTGGTATTCCAAAACATGGTCATCAGTTTCGCTTAAATTTAGGTAAAAAATTTATCTAGGTAGTTGTTTGTTGTTTCAGTAACTCCTCATGCTGTTGTATCATCTCATTTATAGACATTTCACCGTTCAGGTAGTTGTTGGATAACTGATTTGTCTGCAAATAACGATAATAAAATTACCACAAATTCTAATTAGTAATGATGGCGAGTAGATAGTTTGCCAAGAACTATCTAGTTGATTGATGAAGCCGGGCTTGTTTGTCCTTGTAGGGTTGTATATTACTTTTCTTTTGGTTTTCAGTGTTTGCTACTCCGCTTTCCTCGATTCTCCATTGATTTCAAAAATATAAAACCAGAGCGTATTTGTATCATAACCCACATCCACGGGTTTTCCGGAGGTATGTTACGAAATGATTATAGCCATCAACGAGGCATCATTTTTTTCTGTTAACCATGTTTCTGATAAGCATAAATGAAAGGAGACTCTCAGGACTATAATAGTGCTTCCAGTCCATTAAGATTACCCTTCAGAGAGCGAGCATTTAATTGTAGTCCAGAAATTTTATTTTCCTGAGAGGCCTCTGATTGGTAGGAAATCACCAGTAAAACAACTCATAGCATCATTAAAACTATGAATCTAGTACATGACCGCCTTTATAGGGCCGGTTATTTTATTGGTATAACTCATTTCTGTATTGAAGATTTTTATGTATCTGGACAAAACGGATGCAATGCACGCAGCAGTTTGAGGAATTTGAGTCTCGCCTCTGTTGAACTTTCTATTTTTTAGAGATCTTTTGTGCTTTCTCGTTCAGTTGGCGCTTTTTTCGTCAAAAACGAACAATGATGGGTTTTCCTGGACCTGGTAGACAATTCTCATATGGGTTTCCCCTGACATAAAGAGAAATACTAAAATGTACTCAGCTTCGAAAAAGTTTGACTCAGGTCTGGGCGTTTTCCTTTTGTCTAAATGTTTAGCAAAATTTTTGGTTCTTTTCATTTAAAAGAAAGTTATATGAAACCATTTACGTTATGGCACTAGGGATTTTTCTCTGACACCCTCTAATCAAATGTTCAAACGACGCCTCTGAAACAGTTTTTTTTTTGGTTTTTTTCGGGCTTTATTGTTATAAACAGTTTCATCCATAATATGTCAAATTTTCAAGCATGAATCTCTAGCAGTTGTAGAGAAAACGGCAGAAACGTGAACAGTTTTTTGTTCATTTTAAAGCTTGAAAACAAAAGTTGCTACTTCTTTGTCCCTTGACTGTGCATTCATGTGACTATTTGAGTGAGTGAGATTTATCCTCAAGCGCCTGATTGTATCAAAAGAATGGTTAATTTAGGCATGATTGCCTTGCAGAATCTTGATTTAAGTAATGAAATTTTCTGTGTACTTATTGAAATGTATCTACAAGAATATTGGGCTCAAGCGTTACCATTTAATTCACTTGTGCTTCTAAACAGTCTTTTAACTCATTTCTTGAAGGAATCGGCGAAGCTGGGGGTGTTAAAAAGAGTCGAAGTACCAGAGCCCCGAAAAATGAAAAGCGTTCAAAAGTTTTGAAAACTCAAGCTTCATGTATATATTGTTCCTAATTTCGACGAAAGGGCGGATTATTTATGCTTCTTGGTTTTTTATTCAGTCAATTTTTGACTAATTAGTTAGGCGTGATTATTTTTCTTTGCGCTTAATTTTTTCCTGTAGCTTATTTGTTTGCTAACAAATTTCTAAGACGCGGAATGAGTGAGGGACGATTGTTTGGTTTAATTAATTCAACAAAATTTTTTTTTGTGTTACTGCTGCTGCTTATGGTTTATTACGGGGGCTGAGTATCTGCTGTTCTCGTATAGTCATATAGTTCGATTTCTGAAAAATTCGCTCTACACTCACTGAAAATAAACCAACTTGACGTTCTAGCCTTATCTGCCAATTGTTGTCTTGAAAAGACTCTAGTAGATGAATTTAGTCTTGCATTATCTTGAAAGATGAACACAATATGCACGAGTTTTGCAAGGTCTTGCCAAATATACATTGTCTATTGACTAGAAGTGCAATTAACTGCAATCCAGGCTATCTTCTAGAGCAAAACACGTTTTTTTATATTTTTTTCTCATTTCACAAAATTTTCGCTCGTAGAAGTTTCTTTTTGGTTTTTGGGATAGACAGCAAAAATAGGCCACATTCTGATATTATAATTCCTTAAATGGAATTATTTTTGGTTCTCGCATGTTTTTCGTGGTTTATTGAACTTTTAGTGCACTTCGATAGCACTGATATAAAATGATCAGATAAAA